CAGGAAGATAAAAGCCATAGCAGACAGAAGTTCAGGCAGACTCTTGCTTTATCTATCATCAAAGCCGGGATCAGCTGATCCAGTCAGGAAGAAAGGCACGAGCACATCCAACCTCCTTTCCATTTCATTCCAGAACTCGCAGCAGAGATTCCAACCAAAGATGTGACATTCTGATGAACGCACCTCTGTTAGCTTTTCATTAGAACATCCCCAGGAAAAATGAACCTGACATTTTGAGTCTGAGGTTTACCCAGACTTGCGCGCATTAAAAACTGTGGCTGCTCCACACTGTCACTCAGCTCCTGTACAGACTTATCGTTATTCCATAGATCATCTTGTAATAGCAAAAATACTACCGTAGAGAACACAACACTAATGCACATCTACACTATAATGACATCAGGATCCCAAACTTGTGACTTCTGTAATCTTGCATGCAGCCCATCAAGCACGGTATTTTGCATTTAATTGCCTAGGCTAACAAACCTGAAAGTTTTCAAGATTACAGATGCAAATACACAACCCCCACATAAAACCAAGCATGAATACGTGTATTTTTTTCTGCATGGACCCCTCAGAAAAACATACTGTAACGCTTCTTGGTTAAATAAAAAGAAAACAAACAGACGACATAAAATGGTATTTTCGCATACTGACTTATTCAGCAAACCATTTATTCCCTCTCTGAAAAAGGTGGTGCAAATGATGTGATCTGTACTAGCTTGTTAATGACAAAGCCCTGGACCTCAGTCAATATTTATAAAGACTCAGAATAAGAACCGAGATACTTTGGGGCTTTTAGAATCCAGTATCCCTTGACTTGCCACTGCTACTAAAATTGGACGCACTTGTTTAAATATTTCAAGACTAGTAACTGCCCCCACCATCAACTGCGTGCACTTGGGACCCAGTGTGATCACACTCTGCCTTTCAAGGTATTTTGCAGATATATCACTCAAGTCTAAAGTAGAGTTGTTCAAAAATTACCTCGATCGTGCAAGAGAGGCGGATAAACCCGTGCCCAAAAGTTAATCTATAGCTTTTCGAAAGCAACGCATTATAAGACAAGTAGCCTTTAAACTCTTCAGTGAAGTTCCAAGAAAAGCTTGCACTTAATCCACAGGATGAATCTGCAGAGTCAGTATTGGACCTGAGCAACAGGCAGTTAAAACACAGGTTCCAGAACTTGTCCATCACTGGAAGCAACAGGCAATCTGCAGCCAGCACAAGAGTTTATGAGTCCCAATGCATAGACAGTGCCTTGACCCAGTTCAAGCTCCAGTATTAAAACCCCCAGGACCGGCCAGCAGCAGCCTGGCAGACCACTAGTGAAAACGGAGGGAGGAGGAATACGTTGGGCTAGGTTTTGTCAAGGCTTTAGCTAGCAGCATGACCAAATTCCTGCTATAAGCCCTTTTGCAGCTTATTCTCCACCAACTTCTGCATTGGCAGTCATGGTTTATGCTAGTACATCCATGCTGCTTTCATATTTCATCCATTCTTTACAACCTTTTTTGTGTATCGTCCATTGTAATGAAAACTGCTCGGACTGCACCTTCCTTCACAACTGTAAATTGCCCACCCCACCAACAAGGAAAACAGTAACACTCTCAGCACACAAGCCTTGGCTCCATCTGGAAGGATTTCCAGGTGCCTTCATGCAGTATATAACGAGAAATATATTCTGAGGGTGTGCTGATGACAACAACCCACACAGATCCTACTTCTTTCTCTGCAGTACCCAGCAGCATAGTCTCCAGCACAGTCCCAGTATACGCATTTCTACTAGCAAGTCCTTCCATCCCACTCAGAGCAGTAGCAGTGTATGTGCTTCTACATGGTACACTCTAAAGCTACACCATTACTGACCTATTTTCCCCCCCTTGAAAAACAGGAAAAACAGCTTCCTAATGCAGATACAGCCACAGAGTACCTCCCACTACACCTGCTTCAGCAATGATATCAAAGAGTAACATCCAAGCTATGTTCTTAACACTTGGTTCGTAATTGCCTTTCATTTCTATCTGTCCAGTTAAAATAACACCCAATCCATCAACTTCACACCATCAACTCGTTAAGCTTCTTCCTGTCAAGTCCATCTAGACAAGTGTCACATGCCTCCACCTCCATCCGTTCACACCATTTTTCCAAATTAGTTTTTTCATTTCATCACGCTTCCTTTCCGTATTCCTGGCTACGATGCCGAGCTCTCTCGTGTCAGAAAGTCCCTCCAGGCTTTCACTTTTCAGGCCCTTCAGAATCCATCCCACCTAGTTTACCATGAAATATTCCGTGCTGCCTCTACACTCCCGCCTAAAAGCTCATGCCACTCGGGAGACCTCTTCAGATGTCTGCCTTCTGAAGAAAAACACTCTCCCTGCAACTTTCCCCTGCCCTCTTCCCACAGCTTCAGCTGTCGGTGTGGATCCAAGGCCCATCCTGAATACAGAGCAGCCGCATGACCTTGGCTCCGACTTCTGAGGAAGCTGCTATGTTCTAAGAAGCTGCACAGTAGAGCCACGCCAAGATAAGAAAGGTAGGGCTGCAGAGAGGTAACATTTTTGAGATATGGGCCATTAATAGCACAAGCACTCAGGAGGAAAAACACAAACACAAAAAGGTGTAAGTCCCAAAACAAACAAACAAAAAACCCCACCAGGGAGCCAGAATATAGCAACTCAGCT